CACCCAATTTTAACATCTCAAAAGCCAGGGAGGAGGTATGCGTATATTCGAGCCATTTGCTTGAATATGCGTCTACCGTAAATCAGGACATCTTACTGTTTTTTGGCCCATAAATCGATAATGCACTTCATTTCTTTCTTTTTTTCTTTTATGAAGTTATGAATATAATCGGTCAGCTTCTGGAACTTCGAGATGCATGAGTCATCGACTGAGGAGGAAAAGTAAGAGTTTTGCGACGCCATTTCTCCTTTTGTGGGGAAAATCTAAATTTTAGTCGGAATTTTTTATGGTACGAAAACTAGAAAGTCAGAAGACCAGGGTTGTTATTTTAGCCTATTAGGGGATTCTGATTTTGAGCATGAAAAATTCAGGAGTTGCGTTTATTAATTGTATAATGCATGAGAAGGTAAGAAAATTGAAAGAGTGAATGTCCACCTTTTTTCGGAGGAGTGAATTCGATGAATCTATATTCTGATGTGTAAATTTTCCGACTGTTTTGGAAGATGTTCGTATTCTTTTCATGGATCTCTTTTTTTTGCGAAATCAATTAATTTTTCAATAATTGATGCGTTTAATTAATTTTCAGGCCCATGTGCTGCAACGCGACGTCGTCGAGCTGACAATGCCAAGCGATTGGACTTTAATATCGCAGCAGCCATTGGGAAACGGTGTCGGGAAAGAACTGGGATGAGGCTTTTGGGTGTTGACGTGGTGGTCGATTCCACGACTGGTCACTACGGCCTCATTGATATCAACAAATTCCCGGGTTCGTCAACTGCTCATGTTTGTTTGTTAGCATTTGTTTTTTGTGAGGAGTTGGTGAGGCGAAATTTTGTAATTGTCTGTAAATTGTGTGATTCAATCATGGTCGACGTTGTGGAAAATCTGTTGATTTTGTTTGAGCATTTACGTACGAATGAAAGTACTGGTGGACTGTTTCCACTACGAAATTCAAGGGACTGCAAAAATATTCTTGATGCAGCGAAAATCGTTGCAGAGATAGTCCACCTGTATCATTACTGACTCGTGCTCAGAGGGAATCATCTTAATTAATGGGTTTTTAATTCCTTGATTGTCTAATGAAGGAATTCTCTTTCGATTTCTCCTCATCGTTGTTACCTATCGACTTTTCATGTGACTTGCGAAACTTCGGAGAAAATAATTAACCTTTAGCCTAACTTGAACCTTGAAAAGCATGGTTTTGAATTCGATTCTTGTTTTAAAATTTGTATTGGTGTCTTGAGGTTTATCTGGAGTAACTGTACAGTGAGTCCCCGTAAAACGAAAGACTCGAACAACGGAAAATCTGCATTTCATAAATTCCTTAGGGGGAAAACGTTACTCGAATCACGAAATTGTTTCACTTGACATAATTTTTCTGCTGGAAAACGCCCGAATTTCGGAAAATTTCCTATTAAGATTTTATAATTTTTCAATGAAACCCAGAAAAATTGTGAAGGAGGGGTGTTTTTAGTTTTGCTTTTTCTTGATTTTAAAGTTGACGGTAAAAAATTTTCAGGATCGCTTGAATTTAGCACTAATTAATTTTAAAAACACAAATTTGTCCTTGAATAATATGCGGCTCCTACGGTTTTTTAGTGTTTCTCGCTCGCATTAATTAATTTATAATGTAACTCTAAGATAAATTGTGTTTCGCATTACAAAAAACCCAAAAAATAATTTTTAACCTGACCATTAATTAATTACCGTATTTTAATGTAACCTGTGAATTGATTGAATTTTAATTTTACCTCAAGGGAAAATGCGTTTCACTTTAAGAAGAATCCACGATTTTTATCATTTTGTGGGGACCCACTTCGTTCAAGAAGACAGGAAAAAATGTGGTTGTATCACGTGTACCCGTGTTTATAGGATCTTCCCATTGAATCTTTCACAGGATACGAGGGTATGGAGAACTTGGCCCAGCACATGGCCAAACTATTGCTGCAAGTGCTTAAAGAACGAGATGCCGGAGCATTCATCCTTGGGTCTTCTGAGCATCACTGCCAGATGGATTAACCGCAGACTTGGAATTTTATTTTCATACTCACCCCCAATGTGTTAACTCACCCCGCCCAATTTTTGTTTTGTTTTTATAATGCCAACGCAAGTTGCGAAACTGCTGCAGATATTCATTCATCTCAGGAAGAAGAGGGATGAGGAGAGAGATTTAAACGAAGGGGGGGCTATTGGTTTTGTACGGATTCGGGAAAAAGGAAAAAAAAAAAGAAGAACCCTGGTACTTTCAGTGTGATATAACCTCTGCATTACTTGGGTTTCTCCGCAGTTCAATAAAGAGAGCAGGAATACTCACGGATGTCGGAAAAGAAAAAGGAAAATCCGAGGCTTGAGAAGGATTACTTTTGCTTGAATATTTCATTCATTTTCTTTCTTGGCATATCTTGGTCTTTCTTTTATTTTATGGAAAAAAAGAGGTGTGTGATCTGTATGGTGTGTCTCAGGAGGTGCTGGGGGTGGTGTGAAGATGTCGCGCTTTGTCCTGAAGCCGTCTGCGCTGAGCAAACAGGCCTCTAAGCTGGAGTATTATGCTACTGATGACGCAGGTGAGGCAGACTTCTTTCCTATTCTTTTTTTGAGAATTCCTTAGTTTTGCAGTGGGGAAGCTTTATTTGGTGATGAAGGTAAAAATAGAATCGCTGTGACGAAGCCAGTTGTTTGTTGGAAGGAAAAATTCTTTATGAAGTAACTCATTCAACGTTTTGACTATTGGATGGAGACCAAACAAAATAAATGCTTTTTTTTTGTGAGCACTCAATTTTTTATAATGAGTTTCGTTTCACAGTTGGTCATCAAGGGGCCAGCGAAAGGATTCTATTTTGGGAGTTTTGACTTGAGCAAACAAGCATTTTTGTTGTGGGGAATGGAAGAATTACAGGAAATTGTAGTTGGTAATATTCTGGACCTTGAAAATATTTTTTAATGAGTTGACAAGATGCTGAACTTGGAGGCAAGGGTTCAACTGCCCAATTATCCTTCCACTTCCTTTGTAAACACATCCATTTTCATTTTCGTTTTTTTTCCTGTGTCAATAAAATAATAGTCGAAAGGCTTCCAGGAAATATGATTTCTGAGGAGGAAAGCCTTTCAGTTAAGAGGCTTCTTAATGAAAGCTGTCTGTAAGAGTTAATTTTTTTTTATATCGCTGATCACCTTCGAACTGACATTATTTTACAGGGTATGAAAATTCATTCTGGTTTTCGTAAGAAATTTTGCGATTGCATTATTATTTTTTTTAGGAAGTGCAAAAAAGCCGCGACTGGACACAGACAAGGATCCGGAAGAAACAGACGAGAAGAGCAAATCCGAAGAGAAACGGAATGAAAGTGAGAACCAGAACCCCAAGACGGGTGAGATGGTGAAATTGCCTGCGGCCCCGGTCTTTATGCCAGACACACCCGTGGTTCTCCCACCCTCGGCAACTCCTTCCCAATTTATCTTTGGCACAAACGTGAGAGACCGTGTGGTTGGTGTGGATCTGAATGCCGAGGATGCCAACAAGGAAGACGATTCCGAGAACAATGGTCTCAACAATGGCGAAAAGAAGGCTGAGGAACCTGAATTGAGCAATAATGGTAAGAATTTCTTTTTGTGAGACGAAGTCGGTTTTTCTCTATTTAGTCTTTGATACGACATATCTTATTGATGCAATAAAAAAAGACCCTTGATTGAATTCGATCACGTTTTTTTGTTGAGTTTATTATGTTTCAGTACAGTACTTGTTTCTTACCATCTACTTACAGAGAAGGTAGCTTATTCATACAAGTACAGTACCACATGAACCTTTTTTCTCAAGATTGAGAGTGAAAAGCAGTTGGAAATCATCTGGAACAAGCTGATCTTTTCGTGCTTTAATTTGTGCTCAGTAATTTTTTTGCTATGATTTTTGTCATTCTTAGAAAAAATGATGGAAATTCATGATCCATTCATTTGTATGTACTGTCATGTATTTTCTTAGAATACCAGTTACCCTTCGTTAACGAAATTGATTGATTCCAGACAAAATTTTGTGAACCAAATTTATTTTCCCATAGACTTCAATGGGGAAGAATTTTATCCACTCTGTGTGCTCAAAGGACAATTGAACATTGAATATGAAAAATTCAAGACCATCAACTGTAATGATAATAAGTTGTTGCTGCATGTTATGTGAGCCCAGAATTTTTTTGAAGTGTTTTATGGAAGTACCTTTTATGAAAACAATTATAATGAAGCTTCACATCCAGAGAAATGCCTAATTTAGGATGCATATGTCTGGTGAAAATGAAATTTCTTGTTTCAATGCTGCAAGTAAAGATCAAATAGACCTTTCTGACAATTTAACAACTATTGATAAACCAAGCACAGAAAAAGCAAATAATTCTGTCACAGAAAAGCATGTATGAATATTGTAGCTGAAACAAATTTTAAAATACAAGCTCACAAATATGAAAATTCTTCCCTTCTGTCACTCTGATATCAGTGCATAGGCGAATTATTTGCACTTGGATTGTACCGTCAATTTCAGCCTTGAAATCAAAATAAAAAAATTTTAATTTGTAATTTTCCCCCAGAAAAAAGTTCAACGGAATTTTGGTTTCTTAACCAAGGGATTTTTGCTTAAACCCAAAAGTTTGTTATCCGAGGGTCCACTGTTTAGGAAATATTTTTATTATATTTATGTATTTTTTATTGTATGCGGGATGGGTGAAATGTATGTGTGGAAGAATTTTTTGAATTTGTGAATGCAAACAAAA